TTGGGGTCACCACAACATGAGGAACTGTATTAAGGGGTCACGGCATTAGGAAGGTTGAGAACCGCTGCTCTAGACTCTACAGTTCAGCTATTCAACCACGAGGCTGTTCCTCAATTCTATTTAATTTCCAAACATAGGAAACCTAATTCAAAATGGCTTAAATAATGAAGAAAGGTGTTGGGTTAGGTAAGTAGCAAGTTCATTTGCAGAGTGACCTTCAGGGTGGGCTTAATCCAGAGGCTCAGCAGGGTCAGAGGCTCAGAGGGTCATCAGGGACCTATCTTTCTGCTCTAACTACCACACGATTAGTTTGGTGGTTCCCCTTCTCTTGCTGGTTACCGGGTGACTACCAACAGGCCTGTGTGCTGCCTATTTCTTGGTCCATGTCCAGAGAGAGTGAGACAGCATACATGTCCCATCCAATGAACCAAAGTTTGTGCTGAGCTCTGGGTGTGCAACCATGGCCTTGGATACCTGTCTTTCCTGAAACAATAATATTGGCATGTTAATGTCAGTGGGAACTTACCCCTGGAACTGCCAAGATCAGTGCCTCTGGAACTGCAGGTTATGGGGGATAGAATGGAATATTGGGCAGGCAACAAAAATATCAACCACAGCATATTGTCCTTATAGCTTATCATACAATTTTGGATTGTCTTAAAATTTTATATGTACATAAATAGCAGTAAGCTTCTTTCTTCACTCCCTCTCCCTTCAGCCACTTATTTACAACTACACAAATGTCTGTAAAACCCCATTTGGTTAGCCCAGCGTCATTTGTGCTGCTTGTCCTTGGTGGCCTCTCATTGGCTAATCTGGGTCAATCACTTTCTCTAATGCTTTTGGAGAAGTCTTTGCTCTATCCTAGATCATTCCAATTGTGAAGGCAATGGCAAGTCTTAGAGATTTTGGAAGAAACAAATTAAGTCCATATTTCTTTTGCTATTCAAGGGAGAGATTCTAATGGTAGTTTCTCCATCAAGTAAGATGGTGAGGGACCTCAACTTTCAGAGATGTAGTGGAGCAAAATTCAGCCCCCTTCTTGTTTATTTTTCCCTTAAATCCGGAGGACTACAAGAATGCATTAGACTCTTATAAAGTAAGTGGAGCCTGTGACTTTAATAAACTCGGCTGTAACGTGCTGAGGTTTTTAACACTGCTGTTGTATTAGTTTTAAAATATGGTTTTGGTTCAGTGGGCAAGCTAAGACATGTTACTACCGAGACAAGGACATCTGTGTCAGATACATACGCATGTTTAGATTCAAGGAGGAGAATTTGCTGTGTGGTTCAGGGTAGCCGTGTCTCTGGCTTCCTTTTTTCCTGGGTCATCATTCAGCAATGCAGTACTGTGTTCTATTTGTGCTGCTTTTTCCCTGGAGAGCCCTTCAGTGCAATAACAATTAAGTTCTCATCCTTCAAGCTGGAAGAATTTAGTAGACACAAGAAAGATGCCTGCCTTCTTTAGAGTTCTTGAACCTACTCCTTTTTTTTACATATCAGCAGAGGCTGTTTGGATAGACACAATTATCCCCAAGCTGGACTTTCCCTGCTCCCCTACTGTCCTGCCCCTGCCACAATGTCTCATTTACTATTATAATACCATAGTGATATTTCAGAAATATGCATGTCATGTCATTCTGATCGTGTCATTCTCCTATTTTAAACCATTCAAAGTCTCTTCATAGTTTGAAGGATAAAGTTCATATTTTAAGATATAGCTCAGAAGATCCTTTCTCCATGTTCTGGTCCCAGCTTTGACTTGTCCATCAGTGCCCATAGGTACCAGTACACGCATGCACACCCCACTTTCTTTGTTTCTTACAAGGTACTATGTTCTTAGCACTAGGCCTTTGAGTTTGCTATTTCCTTGGCCACAGCACACTTCCTCTTCCTCGTCTCACATAGATAACGTCTACCCATCTTCCAGCTTCAGCTTCCGCATCACATCCCTTTGGAAGTCTTTCTTGATGCTCAAGCCTGGGGAGATGGCCTTCCTGTGCCACCCCTCAGTGCTCTCCTCTTTCCCATCATAGTCTATTGCAGTGTGTTGTAATCACTTGTCTCCACTGTTAGATGGCAAGCCCTGTGGGGACAGAGTCCACATTTCTTTTGTTTGCTGTTGCCCTGTATATATATGCCAAGTTCCTAGCACAATGTCTGAATTCACGAATTCAGTGAAAGACATGGTGCCGACGCTCAAGGAGAGCTCAAGTTGGAGAGAGATATTGTACCCTTCTACATAAACAGGGGTGGGGAGAGGAAGCGGGGGTGAGCCAGCAAGGAGACTTAGGGCTATACAGAATCCCTGTTTGATCATCAACTAGCTTTGTAATGTTGGGATATTATTTAACTTCACTATATTTCAGGTTTTCCATTTGTAAAATTGGGGTTTTAATCATACTTATTGCCAACGATGGTCGTATATATTAAATGAGAATATATGTAATGCACTTAGCATAATCCTTGGGACATAGTAGGTGCCTACTAAATAGGATGACCATATACCTCAACTTGCGTGGGACAGCCCTGCTTTGTTCTTATTATCTCAGGGTAATTATTAAAAGTACCCCATTTCACTCTGCTGTTTGGGGCAGTAAATGACATGATCCCTCTACCAATAGATGGGCTGTTAGAAGTAGAAAGGAGCTCAGAAGTTCATTGGTCCATTCCTTCCCCACTTCACAGATAAGAAAACTGAGATCAGGAGAAGGGGCTTGCCAAGGGACATGTAGCTACTTGGTGGCAGAACTGGGTCTCCAGACTTGGAGAGCAGTGTTGCTTCTATGACAACATCTGGCTAACTTTTTTTTTAAATTTTAGCTGAGCCATCCTGCCACCTGTTGGCAGCTCAGCTGTAGCTCAGCTCGGGCCAGGACTTGAACTGCTGTTGCTCAGAGCTCGCACTCTTGAGCGAGCTCTTAACCAACTGAGCCACTCAGCCAGCCTTCTGGCTAACTTCTTAATTCCAGGGTTTTGAAACAGTTAATGATCAGCTTTAAGAGATCTACAAAGGAAGTCAATCTATATAAAACTGAAATTTCAGTCAACTGAAATTACCCTGTAACTCCCCCTACCCTTCTAGCATTTTCTGAACTGCCCCGTTCCCCAACCAATTCGCAGTCTTCCCCAGTCCCCACCCCGAACTGCATCTCTGATTAGTCTCTGTGGCTATATGTCGATGCCCTGGCTGGTGTTACTTACCCACATTATTCCATTTATGTGGTTATCTCTGTTTCTTCTCTGTTTAGCTGGAAGTCCTGGGGGAGCATGGCCTGCTGGTTTCTCCTTAAACCATGTCATTAGTACTGAGCCACCTAGTGCCTATTTTTAGGGGTGATAATTGAATAAGAGGCAAAGCCCCTTCAGCAGCTTGGCCCTTCTGTTCCCTAATGAGAGACAGGCTTAAGCAAGGACATCTCTAGGCTAGAAAATTAACCCAGATGAGGGAAAATTCAGAGGGTACCATACCTCTTTCCAATGCTCACCATATTATTTTCATGAACAGGTAAGCTTTTGCTATGGTTTACTTAAATAAAAACAATGTTATTACCTACCTCCTTGATATACTTGGATTTTATTTAATTTGAATGTTTTAAATTCCCAAATAACAGTCTTCTCTCAATATGGTTACTGTTTTTAGTCAACAGCATTGGCTCTTAATGATTTCTGGTCATTTTTCAAAATGAAATATACGTTTAACTGAAGGTGAATTTATTCCCGTTCACTGCTAAAGAAATATATCCTGTGCTGTGGAGAGCCTTGTGAGCAGGCACTGGACGGGCCTGCAAAGCGGGGTGCTGCTGAGGGGCCTTGACCCCAGCTTCCAGAAGCAGTTGGCAGTTCCCGTCTTCTGGCTGGTGCCCGACCTCTCCATGCCATTGTCCCCCTCCCTTGAGGCAGGCTCAGCCACCTTTGAGGTAGCGGAGGTGTGGACCAGAGGAGTGAGCAGGGCCTCTTGCTTCCCGCCTAGAGGCAGAAGGAGGGAGGGGCCCTGCCATTCCACCAGAACTAAGGGAAAAATGAAAGGAAAGAAGAAAAATGGTTTTGTTGTGCTTTATTTACTCAGCATCCAGATACGAAGGAGAGTGGAAAGAAATCACACGGGCGATCCCTCATGACCAATTTCGGGAAGCATAAGGTATGAATGAAGAGGGTAAATGTGCAAAATGAATTTAAATTCAATCTGGAAAGTAATAGGAGACTATCATAATATCTTTGGAATAACTGAAGATTTCTTAACTAGGACTCCAGAAAAGGAAAAGGTTGAACATTAAACTACTTTGAAATTTAGGAATTTCTGTTCATCAAAATGATCAAAAATAAGTAGCATACTGGGAAAGAATATTTTCAATACGAAATCCAACAAAGGACTTGTATACTGAATATAGAAAGAATTCCTACAAATCAATAAAAAGACACGTATCCTAAATTTAAAAAAAAAAAAAGATAATGGATATAACGGCACTTCACAAAAGAAGAAAACCAAGCGGCTGATATGGAAAAGGCACTCACCCATATCAGTCCTCTGCGAAATGCAAATTAAAATGGCAATGAGATGCCATACACACCTTCCACAAGAGCAAATATAAAAAGGCTGACAATACCAAGTGTTAGTGAGGATGTTGAGCAACTTGAACGCTCATACGCTGGTAATGGGAACATACATTTGTAATAGTACAAAGCGGAAATAGCTTAAATGTCCATCAACAATAGAATGAATAAAAACTGTGATATATTCACATAAGGGAATATTTATTAGCAGTGAAATTGACAAAATTATGACTATACACAATAATATAGTCTTTATAAACATGACGTTGAGGAGAAGAAGCTAGACCCAAGAGAGTACATACAGTTTGATTCCATTTATATGAAGTTCAAAAGCAGGCCCTCCCCGCAAAATCTATAGGATAAAAGTCCTTTGGGGAGAAGGTGATTATTGAATGGGAGGATTAGAAGGTTTCTGGGGGAAGATAATATTCCATTTCCTCAATTAGGTGGTTTCATTTGTGGAAAGCCATCATGCTATGCAGTTGTCATTGTCATACTTTTCAAAATGTATGTTGCTCTTCAATAGAAAGGTAAAACATGTTTTATAAGCAATCAGTTATTGGATGGTGAACTTCATGCGTGAGATTTTTGTAAGGCTATTTCTTGCACTTTAAGAAATGTTGTATCTGGAATTTCCTTCCCCATTAATAGGGTAATTTATTAAAAGGCTGGAAAAATAGTCATTATAATAAAAACTGAAAACAACCAAAATGTTCACCCATCAAGACTGCTTAAGTGAACCATGATTCATTCACATAATGGACAGTTATGCAGCCACTAAAAGATGATCACTCTAAATAGCTCAACATGCAAAACATTAAGCAAAAAAATAAGATGAAAAATTGATTATATGGTACATTAACCATGATGTGTCAAAACTATATGTAAAGAAAATATATCATCATTTATCCGAATATTATCTGCCATTGGTGATTCATTTCTTATTTCTTTTTGCATTTTATGTTAAAAAATGAACTTTAAAAAGACAGATTTATTCTTGTAACACTTCAAATTACTAACTATATGTAGAATTAGAGAATATTTCATTTTTTGATTATACCTACTGATTTAAGTTGAAATTATTTTCCAAAGTAACCCTTTTAGGCAATACTTTAGAATTACAATTTATTGTGCCTCAAGTCATTTATAGTATTTATAGATTATTTTAATAAATATTAATAGTATTTTAAATTGAAAAGTTAATATTATGTAGCTTACAGAATGACATTTCATGCCATCTCATTTAATCATCACAACAATAATAGTCCTTTAAAATAGATGTTATTGTCCTGCCCTTTAAAAAACACAATGGGGAGCTAGAGAGGTAGCCAGCTTACCAGCTTGGGGAGAAGCCAAGCTGGAACATGAGGCCATCAGATGCTGGCTAGGGTTCCCACACCATGCACACTGAGGTTTGTGAGGCATAAATAACACCTGAGAACATTTCAGACTAAATTGGCACCTTGCTGTGAGTACAATAGAGGTGAGTGTGTGTATGCCAACAGCGTAGCTTGGTTTGTATTTGTTGAGTATGAGAAAACCTGTAAAGTGACATGATCTTGTGGTCATGTAGGAATGGGGTCCCTTTCCCTTTTTTAAGGCACATTCCCCAGATGTCCAGGGTACTCTGTCTGAAGGTCTCACCTTTTTTATGGAAGCTGTATTTTTAGTGACAACGTTTTCTGCAATTACTAGGGTCCCTCCCCATCGCTGGTATTGTTGAGGGTATGTGTTGCCAAATATTGGGGTTATCTCCAAAGTGGTGGGGATGAAGTCTCATCATTCCAAAAAGGTTTTATGTCTAACAGCTTATCTGTCCAGAAGACACCAGATTAGCCCTGCAGCCTTTCAGCTTGAATCCTGTGGGTAACAGTTTTCATTCTGCTGCTAGAAATTAAAATGGGTCAAAACCTGAAAAGAGCAGTTTGATACAGAAGGTTATTTCAGTGCATACTGATCAAAAACAGGAAAGGTAGGTCATTCATTTGTTAAAAAAAAAATTATTACTTTTTAAATTCAATCTGCCTTTTATAATTCAATAGGAATAGTGACCTTCCTATAAAGAAGACATTTTATTCCTTATAATTATTTAAATAGATGTTATAACTTTGACCCTACCCCTCATAGAGACCTCCGAAGCATGACTAATAAGGTCTTTCTAAGACCTACATTTTATGTGGCGTAGAAGTCAGTTTAAAATAAAACCCTTGGTTTTGTCTTAATATTATAATTGGGCCATAGACATGCTTGTTATTAATGGAAAGGCAAGCTACAATATTTGATCCTTTTTTCCCCCTCCAAGTTACTTTCCTTGTGTGTGTGTCTGTGTGTTAAAGCCCAGTCCATCCTCTATATGTTGTAGATGTACCTGATGCAATGAGTTTGCTGTTAAGTTTACTATGATTTTCCTGGCAGAAAACCACAAAATTGCGGTGTAAATCCTACAGTACCGATGATGAGGAGGACGCACAGCAGAACTCTGGCAAGGAGACCGGGCAGCTATACAGGTAAGAAAGCATCGCCGTGATTCTGTCTCAGACTTCCTGAGCCTCTCCATCCTCATTAGCTTGGCTGTTTTAGTTGCATTTGTCTAGACAGTTGGGAGACAAGGTCAAGTGCTCATTGCAGCAGGACCTGTGAAGATCAATGGGATATGAGATGATAATACATGTAGGGGACTTACACCGTGCTTGTGCATAGGGAGCTCTGACATGCTAGCTGTAGCAGTTGTCAAATACAATAAAAAGTATCTTCAGAGAAGAGAGAGAGTGGACACATGAGCTAGTACAGAGGGCTCTCCTACTTACAGGAGACCAAAGGAGAAGACAGGGTTAAGAGCCAAGGATCTGAAATCAGCCAGGCTTCAAACTCTTGATCCTCCAACTTTAATGTAGGGCAAGTTAGGCTCCTCATTAGGCTCATTGTAAGGATTAAAGGATTTAAACTGCTTAGCTTGATAAGCCCTCCTTCAATTAATGAAGTGCTCAAAAATATTAGCTGCTGTTTTCGTTGTTATTGGCAATAAAATTTGTAATGAATATAATGACTATATTTTTAGAACCCAAATTGTGACACATGATCTGATGTAGAATTTTCTGGCTGTTTATGTATATAGTAAGTCTCACAAAGGGATGTAAATTATATCATAGATAGACAAACACATACATGCATGTGCAAACAAGTGTGCATGCGTACACTGCGCCCCCCCCCCACCGCATATCCCTGTGCCTTTATCAAAAGACTGAAATTAAATGAAATCAAAAGCATAGAGGTCCTGTAGGAATGAATGGCATGTAGTGTTCAATTAAGTTTAATATTCAATTTTATCCATTAGTTGAAAGACATTTAGGTAGTTTTTACTTTTTGGCTGTTATGAACAATGCTGTTGTGAACATTCATGTATAGTTTTCATATGGATATATATTTTTATTTCTCTTGGGTATATACTTAGAAGTGGAATCACTGGGTCTTATGGTAACTCTGTTTAACTTTTGAAGAGCTGACAAACAGCTGTTGTACCATTTTATATTCCCTAGCAGTGTATGAGGGTTCCAATTTCTCCTCATCCTTGCCAACACATGGTATTGCCTACCTTTTTGGTTATCACCATCCTAGCGTGTGTAAAGTGGTATCTCATTGTTTTGATTTGCTTTTTCCTAATGAGGAGTGATGTTGAACATGTTCTTCCTGGCCACTTGTCTATCTTCTTTGGTGAGGATTAGACATTTTGATTGTTAGATGTTCCCCTAGAGGAGAAAAATGTGTATCTGAGGAGAATGTGATAGTCTGTGGAGCACTCAACTGTGTAAGGAGCAGTGGTAGAATTTGTAAAGTTGTAGAGGAGTCCCTAGGAGTCGTTTATAGAGGAGAGAGAGAACAAAGTAAAGGTTGTTTGCTTTAAGAAAGTTGAAGAATATAGAAAAAAACATAAGGAAGAAAATAAAAATCACTTGTAATCACACCTCTGAAAGAGAACCACTGTGGAAGTTTTGGTGTATTTCCCTTTAGCTATATAACTCGTGTGACCCACAAGGCAAGGTTTCTATTCCTTTAGTTTAGGCTCTCATTTAGCCAAAGTGGAGCAGATCCCTGGTGAGCTCTGTTGTTACTCCCTAGCCTGGGTAACAGTGGGAATCAAGCCCTTCACAATAGAACTCCCAAATGCATGAGGAACAGACTGATTCTGGCTGAGAGGTGAATAAGACCCAATGGGTAGGGTGCTGTGGTGGAAAGTGCCAAACTAGGAACCACACTGGGCTCTACTCCTGGCTCTGTCAGAAGCAGGTAGGTACACAAAAGCCCAAAGTTCTTCCAGCTCTAACATATCATGAGTTCTGGGTATATATTTCACAGGTTGGGACGCCGAAGGAAAACCATGAAGCTCTGCCGAGAGCTCTCTGACTTGGTGGTGTATACAAACTCCGTGGCAGCCCAGGACATTGTGGATGACGGTAAGGACTGAGTGTTTTTGCTTCTGGACAAACATTCTCGACCTTCTCTGTCAATTGTTAATTAATCTTTTTGTTATTCAGATCATCAGCCCACATTTCTGGGACTGGGAACAATCCAACTTGAGTTGCCAGGAAGCTGACTGTCAGTAGAATGCTTTGAGCTCCCAGGGAGGGCTCTGTTGATTATTATAATTGCCTGATTGTCTAGAGGTCAGAGAAACTTCCTACAGGGCAAAGGAGGACTTTATTATTAAAAAAGACAAATACATCAGAGCAAGGTCTTCCCCAGCGCTTGAACTATGGAGACCTGCCTTGGGTTGATGGCCAGGTGACAGATTGCGATTCCCAGTGAGTGACCAGAAGAAAGAAGAAATGCATTGGCTTAAAAGGCACCTTGGAATGCCCCATATTTTCTCATTGGAAATTTTGACTTTGATGAAAATAATTGAATCCACAGATTGAGGTTTTAACAAAAAGAGCAGAAATTTCAGAAGCATTGACTTTTTCACTGATTTCCACCCATCAGTTGCCGTATATTGAGTTGAGAAATTCTAGTCACAACGGTTCTTACCCTGAACTTTCCTGCTTTTTTCCCCTTTATCCTCTTCCCTGCTCATTTTAAAATTTTGTTCAGTTAATGAATGTTTATAGGAATTATGGCTATGTGGCTTTTCTGTCTATTCTCAATTTTAGTAGCAGTTAAATGTAACTCAGAATCTCCCATTCTCTCAGCAAGTCTTAGTGAAGGGAAAATAACCTTGGGGCATGAGTCTTAGTCCTCACAAGCTTCCAGCAGTTTCCTCAGGTCTCTTTTTTCCCTTTACTCCACAAGTGTATCTTTTTCTATCTCAGATTTTCTTCCTTTTGGTGTTGATTTCTTCTTCAAATGGTGACAATTATAACAATTTTAAATTAATTTCACATGTGAGAGCATGATAAACTAGGAATCTCACCAAGTGAACAACACCTTCTTAGAATAACTCCCCACAGCTAGATAATGAACACAAGGAGTGGTTTAATGGAGTTGAAGGTATATTTGGTTTAGAGAAATATAATTTCTAATAAATGTGTTAGGAAATCATAATCCTATAAGCTTAATGGAAAAATTGAGTACTATTTAGCTTTTGAACTTCAGCTGTTTTTGTCTTTTGTGGGTTTTTTAGGCTTAAAATGAACCATAGATAATGAATACATGGTTTATCCTAATGCAAGCAACTCGATTCTGTTAATACATTAATTGATATGTGCCTAATTAACAAGGGCATCCTAATGTAACGTGGTATGCATATTTACATGGACAGAACAAACAGTGGTACTGATTATATTGCTACTCCATTTGAATGTAGCTTGTCAAAAAAACTATAGTTTCTCCTATCATGTTCAAAGTATTCCTGATCAAAACCCTCAAAAAAGACTATTTTTAGTATACTTGAGATACATAAACTATGTTAATAAGTTATGTCAATAAAATAAATAAGAAAAATTTATATGAAGCAAATCATCAAATTAAAAACTAATTCCCTAATTTCTTTGCCTCCCACTTGTATTCATGACTGTTCCAGGTCCTAGAGTATAATTGTTAGTCATTTGGTCAGCATTTACTATCTAAGGCTGTACAATCCCAAGGACAACAGGAGCCCTGGGGGACTGTGTGCTCTAATAAGCATGCACAGTATGGATATAATTCAGCACAGTTGGCCCAGCTAGCACAGGGTTCTACTCCTTGGTTGAATGGGCCATGTCTCTCAGCCTGGGTTCAGACACACTCAGTTTGTCACATTACACATTAGAATGGAAATGAGGCTCAGGACAAGTTTGGATCTTTATCTAGACTGACCTGTTACAGCAGGTCCAGAAGACATATGGGTGGTCGTTTGGGGGGTGGGGTATGGGGGAGTGGATGTTTGGTGAAGGGATGGGAGTGGTGGAGTTATTGTAGATACAATGCCAAAGAAGAGATTGGGAGAAAAGGGTATTGATATTAAATATTTGGAGGTTTACTGTATCATGGCCCCCAAACTTGCAGTTTTCTTGGCCATGGATTGACCCATCAAGATGATGATCTTAGCAGAAATTTTAATATCGGCTTCTTGTTCTTTTACCTCCCTTAATTTTTTCCATTGTTGATAAACCTCGGTAGATGGATGATTGTTATTGTTTCTGAAATTTTATTCTGTATAATGCTCTTTTGAATGCTTTATTATTATTCCTTTCTCCTAAACAGGTTTTGACTGATTCCATAATTCTATTCAGATTGACTTTAAAAATAAATTTTTCTGTTTTGGAATTGATCTTTATTTCTTTATTTTTTGGACCCTGAATGCTACTAGTTAATACGCATTTCACATGTGAACTTTTTAGGTGAATGCCTTCAATGAATGTCTCCCTGTTATCATGTCTAAGTCACATAGATACTTTCATTTATCTTTAGGAAAGACATTCTATTTGAATTATGCACTTCAAAAATAATTTTGCAGGCCAGCCAAGTGGCGCATTGGTTGAGAGTTGGCTTGAGAGCGCCAGCTCTGAGTAGCAGGGCCCCTGTTTGGATTCCACATGAGGGTCAGTGACGCTGCGCTCTCTACATCTAAAATGGTGTACAACAGCTTAACCTGGAGCTGGGCTGCCGTGAGTCGCTAGTGACAGTGTAGGCTACAGTGTGGCTGCAGTGGGCTACCGTGAGCTACTGTGAGTGGCTGGCAGCCAGTGTGAGTTGCCATGAGCCACAGTGAGCGGCTGTCCAGTGGCCAGCAACTGCTTCACCTGGGAAGAGCTCAATGATCACAATACCAACATGGCTAGTAAAGTGACGTCCTCCAAAACTAGACTGAAGACCAAAGGGAGAGCAACTTGTCTGTTCCCCTTCTCCAATTCCCCAATAAAATCTTTAAAAATAATAATAATAATAATTTTGCTGCCCACCCTGTTCATACTAGCCGGATAGACATGAATTAGTGAGATGGTCGAACTCTTGGGAAACATGGGACCCCAAAATAGGCAGTTATCTTAGCACAATTCTGATTTGGCCTCAAAATGGCAAAAGAGCCCCCAGAATGGAATTATATGGGTCTTTCTTGGTCAGGAACTGCATCTTCTCTGGTTGGATTTTCCTTTTTGCTCTGCCATTTACTATGGGTATAAACTGACATATTATAAGTTCTTTTGTGAGTGGTGTTTTCTTTACTCAGTTTTGTTTTCTTCTTTATTAAAAACTCCCAGGAACCACAGGAAATGTGTTATCATTCAGTGAAACGAGAGCACATCAGGTGGTTCAGCAGAAATCAGAGCAGTTCATGATTTATAACCAAAAGCAGCTCACGAGGATTTACCCCTCCGCCTACCGCATTGATTCCAGTAACTTCAATCCTCTGCCCTACTGGAACGCAGGTTGCCAGCTAGGTGTGTATGCCTTGGGAAGGGGCGGGTCTCTGTATGTCTTGAGTCTATGCTAACATTTTGCCTAATTCTTTCAAACTCTGAACTTGCACAGTGGCACTGAACTACCAGTCTGAAGGGCGAATGATGCAATTAAATCGAGCCAAATTCAAGACGAATGGCAATTGTGGCTATGTCCTCAAACCTCAGCAAATGTGCAAAGGTGTGTGTTATTTCATAGTCATATATCTGAATGCAGATGACTTGTATTGAAGGAGCTCTCTGAAAAGTGGGATATTCCAGTGTTTTGCATCGGGCTTAAAAAAAATAGGTTAAGGTGTTGGAATGTAAATTAAAACTCTTTTCACACTATAATATTAAGAATGTTCTCCCCTGAGGTTATGCATGTGAAGAGGGACATAGGTAGCAATGGCTAGTCATCTGAAATCCATTGCCGCAGCATGATATTCACTGGCCATTACTTATAAATTGGATAGTGTTCTAAGGTCTGAGCCCTATTTTTCAGAAACTCTCTTAGGTCATGTGAGTTAGAAACATGCTGGCAAGATAAAAATACCACCTGAAACAATTTTATCAAGCCTTAAGTCAATATGGCTTACAAAACAGTGCTCATAAAAAAAGAAAAAATAATGTAGTGTTAGATAAAAAACACACCTTCTTTTGGTTTTGCTCATTAAAATTCTTTTTAAATTTCCCCAATTGGATTTTTAACAATTGAGGTAAAAACGTGTTGGCACATGTGTCTTCAGGATTTTATGCTGTGCATGTTTTCTTGCTCTGCTGTTTACTTAGTTTCAGATCTTCTTTCTGTTTGTTATATTCACTCTATGCCTGAGATAGTTTAGGTTAGAAAATTATTTGGATCTGACATAGCTGCTCCTCTTCTCTGTACAAGTGGCTTTCAAGTAAAATGTTCCTCCTCCCCCATGCCACGACTGATAATTGCAATTGCAGACACTTGCTTTAAATTAGTTCATTCCCCCACCTTTGGGAGCATGGATTCTAAGAAAAACCACAGCAATGCAAATGCCAGCTGGCATTGTCTTCAGGCAGGATCCACACTGATAGTTATGTGATCATTTCTTTGCTCTAAGAAACACTGTGATAACTCAGCATTTGTTGTTTCTTTGTGCCACAAGCTTAAGCTGCATGGGTATGTATTCATGTGTTTTACCATGCTGCTAACCTTAGATGTTCATGTCTGCTTTACTTGGCTTAGGTACTTTCAACCCTTTCTCTGGTGACCCACTGCCTGCCAACCCCAAAAAGCAGCTCATCCTGAAAGTTATAAGTGGACAACAGCTCCCCAAACCTCCCGACTCCATGTTTGGAGACCGAGGAGAGGTAAGCCATGTATGACCAAACGGTTAATTATGTGATTATTTTTTTGTGTTTACATTTCATCCAAAATGTTAGCTGTGAGGTGTGTGTGTTCATAAATGAGCACTGACCTCAGCTCACCAGATATTAACTAGCTCATTGGCAAAGCACACACACTTCTTTCTCAATTGTAGTGCATCGTCTATATGGGAGGCATGCATGCATGCAATCAATTCATTATTTAAGATTGACACGGGCAATGCTAACATTGGGGTGCAAAAAACAATTTTATTAATACGGACTCTGCATAAGGATATGTCTTAACTCTCCATCCACATTCCTTATCTGCTCTGACCCTCATCTCTGCTGCACATCAGCCGCCTGTTCCTGGCCGCATGCTGACCCTTGTCATCATTTGCTGCACCTCTGTCGCATGATTTTAAAATGTCTTCCTCTGTGACCACAGACTCCTGTCTTTCCAGAGCTTTTATTCCATTATTCTCATGACACCTGGTCTTGGCCTTCTTGGCTTCAAGTTTCTCCCTACCTCTCAGCCCCTCCTATGTTCATATCCTTCCTCTTAGAAACAACCCATCACTTTAAACTCTTTGCCACTCTCACCTGTTAAGCCATCATTTCTGGATCTTCCCGCTCTGCAGTTTGGCATCACCATAAACTCTTTGTGTCAACTCTCAACTGACCCACAGTGCTGTGCTGCCATCCCAGCTACACCTTATCAGCGCACTGTCCTATTATCTACAGTGGATGTTTCCAACCTTCTCTCTCCTCAAACAGTTATTCTCATCACTTTCTTTCTCATCTTTGGATAGCATCATAGCCTACTCTTCAGAAAGCAGGAGCTTCAGATGGGACCGTTTCTTCTGTTTCTATGGCCTCCAGGCTAATCCAAGCCACCATCATCTCTTGTCAGTTCTGCTGCAGTAGCTTCCTAGCTGACTGGTTGCTCTGTGTCCATCCTGTTCGCCTCCGAGCAAGAATAATTGTTCTGCCAGTATCAGAAAGTTTACCCTTACCTCTTCTTTCCTTTTTCTCTTCCTTTATTGTCTATGCAAAAGAATACACTTCCTGTATTTTCTCCCAACCTTTTTATTATGAAATATTTTAAACCTCAGAAGAATTGAAAGAATAGTAAAATGAACATCATACCTCCAACACCTGGATTCACCAATTAAGTTATTAAATTTTGTGACATTTGCTTTCTCTCTCTGTTTTATGTATATATGTGTGTGCATGCATATATATTTGTGTTTATATATGTGTACACACACATACATACACACATGAAAGAGATACAGCAAATGTCAAAATTTAATTATATAGACACACACATACATATATATGTATTTATACATTTGCTTTTCTTTGCAGAGTCATTTGATAGTAAGTTGTTAACATAATGACCCTTGGCCCTAAATACATCAGCATTTATCTCTTAAGAACAAGGAAGGACATTTTCCTGTAAAACCAAATATAATCATGACACTCATGATATTTAATATAGGTACACTAGTATTATCTAATATAAAATCTATATTCGATTTTCCCAATTGTTCCAAAATTGTCGTTATGTCTTTTTTTTCCTTTTCTTTCTGTTTGAATTCAGGGTCCAATCAAGGATCCCACATTGTTTTTAGTTGTCATTTCTCTTTGGTCTTTAGATATCTAAAACAGTTCTCCAGCTTTTTTGTTTTGTTTTCATGATATTGACATTAAAAAAAATGATGTCCAAGCCAGTTATTTCCAGCATGCCCTGCAATTTGGATTTACCTGATTTTTTTCTTCATGACTAGAATCAGAATAAACATATTTGGCAGGGCTATTACATGGCCAATGTAGGGCTCTTCTCAGTGCATCACATCAGGAGCCACATAATATCTTTTATCCTGTGATTGATACTGAGAGGTGGATAAGGGGTTCTTTCAGATGTTTTTCATTGTATGGGTATCTCTTTTCCTTTGTAATTAATACATAGTCTGTGCAGTTAGAGTAATCTTTTAAATGTATAGAGACCATCTTTTTTTTGTAATTAAATTAAGATCCAACCTCCTTATCGTGGTTTACAAGGTTCTCTATCAGCAGATTGTAACTTTTTTTTGAGCCATGAAACTCTTTGGTATCTGATGAGACCAATGGACCCTTTTTCGAAATAATGTTTGTTTTTTTTTTTTTTAAAGATTTTTATTGGGGAATTGGGGGATGGGGAATAGACAAGTTGCTGTCCTTTTTTTCTTCAGTCTAGTTGTGGAGGACGTTGCTTCACTGGCCCAAGTTGGCACCATCATTGCGCTCTTCCTGGGCAAGGCAGATCAGTCACCGGCTTCTGGACGACTGCTGGCTACACACAGTAGCCCATGGCAACCCACTGCAGCAGGGGCTGCAGCCTACGCTGTCGCTGGTGACTCACAGCAGCCGAGCTCCAGGTTGAGCTGTTGTTCAGCATCTTAGCTGTGGAGGGCAGTGTCACTGGTCCTCATATGTGGGATCCGAACCGGGGCCCTCTGACGTCCCAAGCCAGCTCTTAACCTACGTGCCACTCGGCCGGCCCTGGAATAATGTTTTTATATGCCTAAAATAAAATAAACAGGGCTACACAGAACCAATTTTATCGCAATTTACTTAATTCACAAAATATTAAAAAGAAGTTGTGACATGCAAATATGTGCGTCTGTTAATGGAATAAATAGCAGAGTCTAGAGGTGGGTCCAATAACTATTAGAATTTTAAGTCGTGATGAGTATTGATAAAACATGGAGATTTTTATAACAACTGTAATGTGACATGAAAGCATCTATGATTTCTATCGGGTACAAAATTGCAGTGCTGATACTCCTATGCTGTTCTTTAGTCACAGGCTAATGAAAATAAAGGTAGAGTTTTTTCCTCCCATCCAGGCTCCCTGAAACCTCAGCCCATGAAGTTTCACATTATTCATATTTCTGAGAATGGAATCACAATTCTTTTGTTCCCAATCAGAAAATCATCATCTTTAATTTTCACCTTTTTTTCTTTTCTTTGCTCTTTACATCTAATCAATTACCATCTCTTAGGTGTTCTGCCTCCCAAACCTCTCGCCAGTCTTGCTGCCACTATGTGATTCCATTATTCTAGTATATCACCTGGGTGACAGCACAATGGAGCAGACACTGGTAGCTCACGTTCATAGATGAGGAATCTGAAGCACAGGCACTTACAGAACTTGCTGAAGGCCAACATAGGGACAAGCTCTGAAACACGAAGTTGCTTTCAAAGCTGGTGATCTTGACTTCCTTAAAAACAGAAATCGTATTCATTAGCTGCTAAAAAACCCAAGATCCCCATTGATCTAGTTGTACCACAGGGTTCTGTTTAAAGGAAGAACTTTTAGCATAAAATAAATAATTGAAAATGAGTAAATTTTAACTACGGTGTGTGTGTGTGTGTATACACACACACACACACACACACACACACACACACACACACACACACACACACACACACACCGTAGTTAAAATTATATATATATATATATATATATATATATATATATATATATATATATATATATATATATA